ATGTAAATGTTGGTTCGACATGTCGTTGCGTGTCTGTGTAGTTTGTGCTTATTTTATGAACATCGGAATTATTTTACATTATTAATGTAACTAAGTCATAGAACTCTATGATATGTGTTTTTTGGAAAACTCCAAATAACGATGAAACTAAAAACTTTTCGTGATAACCTTTTTACTAAACCTCAAATCCAATTAACTGTAACAGACGACTCTTTCGTCTAGACTTATTTTTAGTATTGGCAACACTCGTATAAACAGTGGCTGTTATTCTTAAACCGAGATTAGAATAAAACACAGTCATTAAACATTATTATTTATTCAAAGACTTTCTCCTTTCGTTGTCCAAACCAGAGGTTATTAAAAACCTGTACAAAATTACTTAATGTGGTCTAGATTTACTTTACTTTATTTGTTTTAAGAAAGCGCTTAAATAAAATTAAATCTTCTTTCTCTGACAATTAGGTAATCGACTTTTTTCCGTGATTAAAATATCTAGGAGAGAATTTGACTTTTTTCAAAATGGGCATTAAATTGTCATCGTTTTTTTATAGGTAGGTATTGTGAAACACGTTTGTCTTAAGCGTATTTTATCATCAACGACGATTATTAATCCAAAATCCGGTCTAAGTAACTTACGAGAAATGAAATTTTCTTATTTCCATAAAAAAACTTTATCATCTCGAACGAATAGGTTGGTTTAGTTCACGGGTTTAGTTAGTAAATAATGAACAACCTGCCTGCTTTTTGCTCAGTTCCTTTTTGACAAAAACATTTAAAATAAATAATTAGTTACCACCTAAGCAACCAATTGTAAAGTAGCAGATCACATTTTTGAACAAAATATTTACACAGGATTGTGTTAATTGATTCTACATGAAAATATGTTTAACGAGACGTTCTAAATCAAAGATCAACAGGAAGATTCTAACCAGCTCATACTGGTTAAATAAAACTTAAATTATGACGACATTGTAATCTAGGGTCTCTGACATTAACGGAAAAATACCAGCAAAATCGTAATCCAGCAATACAGAAACGACATTTAAAAAATGTGCTAAAATAAAGTAAAGCCATTTACAGATATAAAATATGTTATAAGCTCACAAAAATGATATTACAGTGTCGTTTTTTTTATTTCAATGTTGCCACAATGTATCGTCCATTCCCTTTTTATAGGCCACTTAACAGATCTTAAAAAATACTTTACGCTGTCGCGTTGGTTAGGGCGGTCAATATTCTCAAAGCAATCTCCCAAGTTCTTGGTGAAACTTTGAGACTTTTAAAATTTATCGGGAAAGATCGTCAAAGGAGGAGTTTCATTTGTCCCATTTAATACTTCGATGAAGAACACCTACTTTTGAACTCGTAGTTTTATCTTCAATATTACCCGTTTAACTAAGCATTATATGCATTAAGTATTTTGCTTAGAGCAAAGAGAAAAGTATTCACTTTTAACGAGATTGAGATAGTAATAACAATGCAGTTTTTGCTAAATACCTTTAATAATTTATATATTTTATATGATATAAGATATTACTTTTCTATCATTAACTTGTTTTTGTACTACATTTTAATCCTCCTTTATACAATTGCTACTCTATCACACACAGGCATTTTATCCGGTCGCCAGTGATAAATAAATGTGATTTAGTCATAACTATGCGTTGCATATAGTATCTCAGATCGAATTGCGAGTGTCTGCTAAAGTATAGTTTTGGGTTAAGGCTTACGCAGACAAAAATAAATTTATTCAATAAATGAAAAGATGTTCTCTGAAGACAGTATGGTAAAATATATTCTATATTTTTAATGAGTCTATTTATGGGCGTTGAAAATTTTACCGTCTTCTTTTCCTACTTTTGTTTTTGTACCTCACAAAAGTGGAGAATTTTCTTGCAAAATATTTCAGCTTAAATACATAGAAACGACGCTAACCTGAACTTTATTTGCTAATATTAAGTCACTATTGTTACCGTTAAGAGTGTTTAGACAGTGCAATGCATAACATGCCACTGTTTCACAAACAATGATCCGAGCATTACACTCATTCAGGGAAAAACGCGGCTGTGGAGAAACATGAAGTCAATGAACATGTTCCATGGCGAAAAGACTAGATATGGAAGCGAATCGAACAACGTTGATTCGTGTATACGCTGAGATTTTGTACTAAAGGTGATATAAGTCTTTGGGATACGCCCGTAAATTATAAATACTAGGTTAGGTACATTACGTTTTTACAAAAAAGTTGTTTAAAAAAAACGCCCTCATAGGTTTAAAGCAAATTGGGCACAAGTGAGATTACTGTATAGAAAAAGAATATAAAAATTTATATAATAATAATTAATTCGAAGCAATCAGACAATGACTTGAAATGAGCAACCCATTTCTTTCTTAATGTGAAAACCCGATAAAAATCCGTCAGAAAATCTCGAACTTTCTCCTCGATTCTCCCTCATTATGATGGAATATCAGCCGATTTCCAGACCTTATTAATGTTTCTAATCAAGTTTGATGTTATCGTTTAAATGAGTTTTATCACTTTCATGCTGCAGGTGAGCTTTAATATCTGTAATCTGTTTAGGGCAGGGCCTCGATTCTCAGGCAGGTACTCAAAACCAAATTGCCCGGCTTTAAGGAGTCAGAAGCTCATAGCCAATAAACAAACCAAGTACCCATAACACAATTTGGGTGTAATCAAAACCGTCATCCTTTTTAACGGCCCCTTGAGCCCATTTATTTGCTAACTAACTTTTACATCCCAGTAACATTATCTTAGCTACTTTCGGAAGCAGTTTGGAACCCGAAACTGTCGTAAACACCTAAAATGTTCTATGATGGACTCAAAACACGTTTTGTGTTTTGGTTTAATTAACCGAGAAGGGCCAGAACATTCTAGACGTTTCTTTTCTGTATGCCATGACCGTTTTGGTCTTCAGAAATGGCACTTCAAAGGCAATTTCCTATCTGTCACGAGCATACAGTGTTGATCGATTCGCGGACGGACTACCCAACGGTTTCGCTTCATAAAAACTTATTAGTGCCGACGGGATCATTAAATGCTGAAACTGTCAGGGAAAACGGATCTTTATCGAGTTTCGTTTTGGTTAGATACAGTCGCCCTAGTTATTTAAGGGTTTTTGGTAGGCAGTGAGCAAGAATGTTCAGTTTTTTTTAGGTTATTCCACTGACTATATTTAGAGGAGTGGTAACATTGCACATTCCTAAACTATATCTACTAAGATGCGAAGATAGATTCTTGTTGGTGGAAGACTTTTCTGATGACTAAACTATGATAAAATAAATACGATATGATAACTAAACGAGAATTGAGTGTTTTAATTGGAGTTAAGCAGAGCTATCTCAATAACAGAAGTTTCTTAGCACCTTTTTTCAACTTAATGTTAATTACGAAGGCAGAAAGAACATTCATTAGCATTACGTACCAGTTTCTGTTCCTTGAACACTTTTTAGGCCTAAAGGTAATTAGTAAGTAGCAATTGTAATTATAATGTTTTGTCACGCAACATTATGAGGTGATTACAAAAAGACGGACGTGAGGAGTTTACCCGCTCAACGTAAATTTTCTTGGTAATCAGTCATTTCTTTTAAACTTTTTCTTCTTTATCGTTTTTACCGAACAAAATATGGTATTCGTAAGAACTTGTGCCGTTTTTCTGATTTAAAGTTTTTTAATTCTGTAGTTACAGTAAAGAAAAAATTCATGACAAGCTAAAGGTACATAGATATACATTTTTGATATTATTTGCGTGAGTTTCCATAAAAAACAACAGATCTTGGATTAAAATCGGTTCTTTAATTTCGGCCGTGAATATCGGCATTTAATGTTATTATAAGTGTTGCTATAAAAACAGAGTTGAAAATGTTTTCAAAGAAAAGTTTAATTACTTTTCTCAACTACAAAGTACTACGAAAAGAAGCGTTAAAAAAAATAGGCGCCACCGCCGCCGCCGTCGGTGTTTCCGACTTCACGCGAACTGCCGTAGCGAAATCGATTGTTGGCTATCCATAGTGTTCCCGGAAAACCCCAAAACCCGATTCAATTGCCAGAACGAATAGAACAGTTGATTTATAGTGTAGTAAATCTAAAAGTCAAGGAGAAAGTGTGATTCGTAATATAATACGACGACTTTCAATGACTCAGATAAGAAAACAATAAAATTATTTAATAAATAGGTACCTACATAGATACCGAAACTAGGGCAATACAAATACAAAATGGGTACTGAATTAAAAATGACTTTGTCTATGACTTGACAAATAACCATAGCTAAATAAAATTATAACCAAAGAGGATTTATTGCAAGAGACAAAGAAATGAATAGACAATATTTCATGCATCATAAATTAGCATAGTGGTGCAAAAAGGACATGGAGTTGGCAATAACTTAATATTGGTGTAGGCCATATTGATTCTGACTTTGTGTTCTAGAAAACAATTTCATTAGCATTGTTATTATAATATTTTTGGAACTTACAACTTGACATAAGTATTTTTTTCTGTATACTAATGAAAAAAAAATTCCTTTTAAGCATTATACAAAAGTGTAATATGTATGAAAGTTGTTCAAAAGACAGAAATCTATTGATTGTAGGAAGAAATTACTTTAAGTACTTACAATTTTTTCATAATGTAGAAACCACATTATAGTAACTAGTCGTTTTTTCTTTTTATCAAACAACATTGAATGAATAAAGTAATCATTTCAATTAATAACTATGATAACATGTGACTGTAATTCCGACCTTCATGCAAATTATGTAAGATGTTCTTATAATAGATCACTAGAATACTTCTTCAAGAGTATTATTAAGTATGTGCCAGTTATAAAATAAAAAATAATTAAAAGAAAAAGCATGCAAATGTAAAGTACAATTTAAAAATAATAGTGAAATGAAACTTATTTTTCATTAAAAGGAATTAGTATTTTTAATGATGAGTTACATTTTTATTAATAAATCATAATTAAACAGTATCTCACCTGGTGGGCTATCAGTGAGGATAGTGATACCAGTGGGGTCAACATGAGGGGGGAACGCCTCATACAGATCGGGCTCCTCTTCAAGCACCGCGGACAACATCACGGAGGGCATCCCGGCTCCACCGTCACTAACACACACACTATTTGACAAGACACTGCACAACACTACACTTGACTTGCTGAGTGTCTGTAGCTCTCGTGGAGCTCACACCCGTGAGCCACCCCGAGCCATTCCCGACTACCACTTGAACATATGAGTCTGACTTGCCTAAGTCAAATCTTGCTGCACCATTTTTAAATCTGCAAAGACAAAGTTCAAATCACTGGATATATGTCAAGACTGCCAGTAATGTAACACTATCTCCAAGATAGCACTATCAACATTATAATAATCAACCGATTATGCTCCCGGCGATAGCGAAATCTTAGCAACACTCAACAAACAATCAGTTACCTAATTCGTTATAATTAAAACGCTACAGATCAGCTGATTGCTACGGTGCCAGGCCAGACTTGACATTTTATAGCTATTTTAAGACTTACGGGCACCTGATCGGACTCGCTTCAATGTCAGATGCCAAGTACGAAAATTTAAAACTAGCCGCGATATCCATTGTTAATTGTATGAAAAGGTGACCGTACCGCGCCGGCACCGTACTCACCGCAATCCTGGCGATAAATGATGCGAAGCAGGATCTGCGCCTCCGTATTTACCGCTTTGGAGTCCCCGCGGCGACTAAACCAAGTGGCCAGTTCCCGGCCCAACGTAATCACGAATAGGATAATAGTCTCGAATGGGAGCCAACGCTTTTGCTTTGTCACTTAAACGAACAACACAGTACATCACACAGATATATCGGTAACTGACCAAACGCACGGATACATTGTGAATAAATCCAATGTTATGTGGGATAATTTGCGAGCCCCCTTGCTTTCGTTAATCAAATTATCGATGTATCCGGTGAAAGTCGTTTCGGTTTTTAAGCGGTAATACACGAATGTGTGGAAAATGATGTGTTACGAGATTAATTTTCGTTTTGTGGGAAAAATCCCGTTCGTAGAATGAGATCGCACGACCGCGATATCCACGATTTGCGAGAAGTTGAGAACGCGATTCTCGTCGTCGCACGCCCGTCGGACCGTCGAACAGGAAGAGCATAGACTAAACAAATTTTATTCAGACAGACAGATTCAGAATTGACAAGTAACCAACATACTTTTCTACCTATTATTGTTACTTGGAAATTATTTAACTTAAAATAACGAGAAAGTCGACTGATGAATGCGTGCTATACTTGATCTTTGATTCAATGAAAGTATAAGAAATAATTATTTGCTTTTAAGATTATTCGCACACATACGAAAATATCCAATAACTACACCCTTAATAAACTTCTTTACAGATTCATTACTTGCAAGTAGCAAGTGGTTGCTAGCGACTCTGGCATTAAGCAAACTTAAATAGAATCAATTAGTTAAAAAAAAAATAACACATAAAATATGTGTTATTTTTTATGTATTGTTACCATTGGTAGGTATAATCCTAATTAGATGAGATGGGACTCTATAATAGGACAATATAACTGTAATTGTTAACTTAATAGTCACTCAATCATACAAGTATGCCAAAATAACCATACAAAATAATTGTTTTATGCCTAGCGTTAAGTCTAATATCATTACATAGTATTTGGACATGTTATTCGTAATGTCTTTGTTTTCGTTTTCATTTTCTTTCTCTTGGCAACATCAAGCCAAACGTCATTTTGTAAATAATAAGGGTTGAAAATTGGAAAATAAATTGCTTATTTTTATTATGGAATGCTTATTTGATATTGGCTTGAATATTTAACCTACAAAATTATTGTATGATAATCACAAACAACAACATTTTCTATTAGTACATTAATTTCCCTAATAAGAATCTAATATTTTATGCACAATGGATGCTATTTATGCATACAAGTTCAATGTTAATGAAGTTAAAATAAGTGTTTGATTATTTACATAATTTTTCCAAATGACTTGATATTGTTTGCTAAGTGTAAATACTGCTTTAGATAAAAACAATTACCAAAGACAAAACGGTTAAAGAAATCTAACTGTTTTGGTAGGTTTACAATTTTGTATAAGTTGTGTTTATCAAAGAGCCATCAATATTGCTTTCTGAATCAAAGAAAAAACATATTTTTATAGAAAATTAGTTGCTTTGTGCATTGATAAATCTTGCGAATAGAACATCAAATCTCAGTATATTTGCATTTTAGTGGAAAAAGTAATCATTAACTGGCAACATCAAAGATCTTATGTCATTGTGATTCAATAACTGCACAGCTGTGTCATGTTTTCGTTAATATTTTCGCAGATTGTCGTTGCCTAAAAGGAGAAAAATAGATACAAGTTGCGATTTTTTTCAAATAAGTTTCAATTCCAAGGACATGTGGCTATATTAAGATGTCGTCACCAAAAACCGAATCTCTTAAAGGTATTATTATGATCAACATCTTATTGTTTACTTATACGGCTTCCAAGTATATTGACAAAAACATGTATAATTTCTTTTTACAGATACAGTGACAGTGTTAATTAACGCTGTAGGTGATAACGAGAATTCCGTCAACAATGTTGTAATAAAATCATTGACAAAAATAGCGAATTCGTACCCTAATGAGGTGATAGAAATATTTTGTGAATTCTACACGAACACTGTTAAAGTGAACCCTGTGCAGCTTGGAAACATTGTTAAGTGAGTTATTGCATGTTATAAATGTATCTTTCGATGATATTGAAGGAGATTTATGTTTATGCGTCCCTATAAATAATATGCATATTTGTAGGTACATTTATTGTGCAACATTCTGCTGGTTATCTAGTCTACTTATTATCATAATATGACTAAGTAGAATTAACGCGACTCTCACTGCCATGACTAATTCTAGCAATCAAAACAATAAATCATTTATGCATTTTTATAACAGCTATTGTTTTGCTGTTTCAAATGACTGGGTGTAGGTACTAAAAAAATATATTATCATTATTGAAGTTCAAAGAGGCATGTCTTTTAAAGAACTTTTTGCAGGAATATTAGACAGTAATTCTGTTTAAATTTTTTTGTCTATCAATAACTTTCTCAGGTTTAGAAAGAAGTAATAAGATAAAAAAAATGCAAAAATGAAATTGAGACGGTAAAAAGGTTTTTCTGCCCTCTATTAGGTCCTGGATAGATAGGGAAAATAAATTATAAAAACATACATAGTATTGATGACCAGTTATAATATAGTAATATTTGTTAGATATCTACCCTCTATAGCAAAAATAAAGTAATATCCTAATTCAAGAAATCAAAACTATTTGGTTTTTGGGATCCACTTTGCCAATACAGTGTAAGATGTACCCATAGTTCTGTTGTATCTATAGGTCCTATCTGCTACATATAGATCCTGGAGTTGTAGTGGATTTTGGAGGTAGTCTTGTCCAATAAAAACATAATCAACTTTAAAACTTATAAGAAACATCTCACTAAAAGATAAGATAGTATTTGAAATGTCATATTGAAAAAAACTTAGTTTTAACTTTATTTCACAATTTTATCATCATTTTGAATTTATATATAGCATTTGTTGGGTTTCTAATCTATGCATATTATCATTTTGTATGTTTAAAACATAATTATTTAAATTGTATGAGTGGTCCATTTGTGTGGTTTGCCTTGAGGTAAAATTACAAACATACATATTTAATGATACAATTTATAATTGGCTTGAAGTTTCAATAATCTGTATATGGATAAATTTGGTGACTAGTGATGAGGCATACAAAATAATTATGCTAACATCCTGTTTTCTACGATATCATAAAAGCTTTTTTTAAAGTGTGTGAGTGCACAAACATCAATATTGTGCGAGGAACAAAAACAACTGAATGGAATTTGATGAATATTAGCAAAGAAATTATAGTTTTGAAATGGTAATGTACCAGGTCTTAAAAAAAGTATATCTGTAGATATGAATCAGGGTCTGCAAATTTAGATGTTGTTTGTTAACTTTTTTACACAATTGATGTTAGTGTGCATCTTTTAAAAACATTCTAAATTCAGGCACAGCAAACACACAGAATTTAGTGTTATATATTCTAGTTACCATATAAACTAAGAGAGGGTACAAGAAAACTTAGTATAATATAAATAATGTAGAAATAAGTAAGTGTGACAATCTTACTAGTGGGTTTATAGTTATTGGAAATTACATAACACACAATTTTATGTTAAATATTTAATTCCCTACATGATCACAGTTACATCCTTCAGTATCATCTTCTAAGCTGAAACAGGCCTATATTAAATCTACTTACATAACAGACAGGTGACCCATTTTTATTGAAAAATAGACCTTATAATTGTTGAGAAGGAGTTACTCTGTAAACTTTAGGTAATAAGCATTTTACCTGTTATTGATTAAAACGAAATGCAGTGATGTTTTTATAGTATCACCCAATCTTGGCAAAGTTATGTGATCAATCTGGTTGTCTTGTCCAATTACCAGTTCATGATGGTGTTAGGATTTCGGATATAATGAGGGACAAAGACACGGTATTATTGGGTTTTAAATATCTTAATAAAAAGTGAAACTTTAAATGTAGCCCTGTCTTGACAATAAACAATGCTATTATTAGGTTAAAGGAAAATATTTGTGGAAGACCTAGACTTAAAAGATTGAAATTGCCAATATGCCTTGAACTAGTAGTGATTGATGCTTATTCCTTTGAATTGAATTTTTTGCTCTGCAATGGACATTTATGAAGGGATGTGGAACACATAATAACCTTTATCTTTTTAGAAAATTCTAAAAATTAATTAATAGTTGTGATAGTTATAATGTTTTTTTTTATTTTCTACAATTTAATTATCAATTGCAGGGTTTTAGAGCAAACATGTGTGAACCAAGTGAAGAGGTTGGAGCCAGCTACGGCCAACAATTTGGTGACGGCGATGCTGCGTGCTATGATGGAGAATGTGACTTACGAGCCAGTCGTCCAGATGGGCGCTTCTGCTGTCCTAGTTGCAGTGGGACATGAGCATCTGGATCTGGTAAGTGGAATTAGCTATTTCATTAAATAACTGCTGTGATCCTTAAAGGTTAGTATTAAGTTTTACTTCTGTCAATCACGCTAAGAAAAACCAAATGTATCCTAATCTGCATAGCAGCATAGATGTTTTACTGGAGGAGTAATTACTGGTGCGTTTTCGGGTTTTTGGGTATTAGGGTATGATATTAAGGGTTTGAGGGAGGGGAAGACTCTTACACTCGCTCACTCACTTTACGCCGGTAAACTATCATAAGCATGGTACTCCCAAACTTAATAGATTACACATTCTATCACTGGGGTGGTGACAAAATATATATAATCTACGCTGCATCAACAGCTTGCATTGGAACCTCTTCTACAAAACAATATGTACGAGGCGAGTTTTTAAAAGGAACTCAGCTAAATTTAGTCAGCTCTTCAAAGGAAGGAAGGAGCAGGGCAACCTCTGCTCACTGAATTCAGTAATTAAAAAGCATAGTCTTAGGACCGAGGCATGACGTAACCAGACAACTCGATAATTATAATTTCCATCCGTTCTCATATTTAGCACTTAGCTGGGTAGACATTTAGCGATAAATGTTTAAGCTTAGTGTAACTATATAGATAGTTTAGCACACTTAATTGTTAAAAAATTGTTAAAGCCGAATATTGCGTTATTTTTAATTACTAGATAGAGCAAAATTGTTTTTTTTTATTATCTTTGGAAATCATGATATACATAAACTTATAGTGTCACATTTAATGTAATGTGATGATGTATGTAATCTTACAAAGGAGTAAAAAGTCGATAAAACTTAAAAAAAAAAGTTATATACTTATTATTACTCACTAGCTCGTGTGGTCGTGGTGGCCCGGAGGGTGTGGGTTTGAAACCTGGCAAGTACCAATGTGACTTTTCCGAGTTATATGTACTTTCTATGATTATTTAGACGCCACTGACATCGTGAGGAAACCTGGACTTATAATTTATAATTATAAGTTTGATATCGCCAACCCGCATTGAGCAAGCGTGGTGATTAATGCTCAAACCTTCTCCGTGTAAGAAGAGGCCTTTGCTCAGCAGTGGGCACTTATGGGCTGATGATGATGATGATGACTCACTAGCTATTCTGTGTGGCTAACACCGTGGCCTGGCGCCTATTAGTCGTAGGTTACTTAGAGTTTTCAGTCGTATTTTGTAGAAAATTGCCTTCCTCGATTAATTAGCCTATCTAACATAAAAGGAACTGTCCAATTCAAATAAGTAGTTCTGAAGATTAGCCCTTCCAAGCAAATTATTCAGCTTAATTTATATTTATATTTTATATTATTTACTAGCGACCAGCTCCGGCTTCAAACGGGTGCGATACTGACACAAAATTTCTAATTGATGTTATTATAAATGGAAACCTTTCTCTTAATGTCACAATCACTCTATCTATAAAAAAACCGCATCAAAATCCGTTGCGTAGTTTTAAAGATTTAAGCATAGAGACATAAGGACAGAGATAGCGATTTTGTTTTACGCTATATAGTGATAATCTGTAATAAAGTATAATATACCTATGTATATATGTATGTAAAGATGGTTATTTAAAACATGATCACTCACAGTAGGTATCAATTTCGCGCTCTAAGTGTTGTCAATGTCAAATGCGTCACGCTATCACGTACCTAGCCGGTTGCAGTAATCTGTCTAGTTTAAGAATACCACTTTAAATTGGTGCTAACAACGACCATATCCTGCCTCTCTGTTGGGCTATCATAGATTAGGGTTCACAGATACTCTGTTATGAATATATTTGGCCTGTGATGGTGTATATCGTGGAAAAGATAGAATTGTAGGTCTTCTAAATAAATGAAACTGTTGCAATTTTTTTCTTATCAAATAATATGATATTTTTCCCAATCGAGGTTTAAGTTTTGTGGTTCGGGATACGAACAGAAGTTGTCTCGATCACTTTATCTATTAATGATAATCTTATCAAATAAAAATCAGTTCAGTAGTGAAATATATTGTTTTGCGAAATTTGGCCCAAGTAGTGTAGGTAGAATTAGAAAAGTCTTATTTTGGCATGAAAAGACTGATATATATTTTTTTTATCTGATAGAAAAACGAGCTTATTTATTACCTGGCGGTAAGCAATCAGCGCTGCCCATTGACACCCGCAACAATGAAGGAGTTACGAGTGCATTGCCGACCTTTTGGGAATTGGGCATTTGGAAATTTTGGAATTAGGGGAGGGGTAGAATTGAGCCTCCGGTAACCTCACTCCCATGGCGAAACAACGCTGTGTTTATTCCACGCCGGTTTTCTTTAAGGCCGTGGTATCATTCCGCTCGAGCCGACCCATTCGTGCCGAAGTATGGCTCTCCCACACTTAACTTCCTAGAAAAGCGACGTGAAACAACGCTTGCTTTATACTAAGTTTGTAGTTATGTTACCGAAGGGTTTAGAAGCGAGCATTTGCACGCTTTTGTAACTTCTGTAGCGTGAGTATCAAGTCGAAAGTCAAAGTCGAAACGTTTATTGCATCCATGACTAGTGCTGATTCCTTTGCTATACGGGGAGTTATTGGTGTTGAAATGACGTGTTACTGTGTCTAAGGCGAATATTATAACTGCGCTTGTTAACATTGTGAGGTGATCCGACAGAGAACTAAAGTTATCGATATTGCTCAAAGGATTAGCAAACTGAAGTGACAGTGGGCAGGTTACAACTGTCGAAGAACCGATGACCGTTGGAGTGGACGTGTTCTAGGCAAACGTATTGTAGGGCGCCCTCAAGCAAGGTCCACTGACGATATAGTGGTTGGCAGCAGTTGGATGAGAAGCACTGAACATCGAGCTCAGTGGCGTACCATTGGTTAGGCCTATGTCCAGCCGTGGACGAAATCAGGCTGATGATAATGATTAACAATAAGCTTACGTATTAGTTGTACGTCGGGGTTAAGCTTGGCGCGACGGGCTAAGACGAGACGATCGCGGCCACTAGGCACACTACATGAAATGTATACCTTGTCATGGGCAATGTAAAGTTATTTTTTGAATGAGTCTTTCAAACAGTTCACCCAGTTTCACTTTGTAAGGTCATCCACCTGCTTCGCCACTTTTACTCACACTCGTCGTCTCTTTCCAGGTTCTGCGGTCTCTAATCAACCAGCTCTCTCCAGCGTCAGTGCCGCATTATACCATAGCGCATACCCTAGGCACCCTGGCTGCAGTAAACACCCATGGCGTTGTACCTCATATTAAGGAAATCCTCAGCAAAATGTTGCCCCTACTTTCATTGGTTAAGGCTGATGGTTTGAAGCAGGCGTTTGCTTATGGTAAGCCATTTTTTTATTGTTCTAGTAGATTTTTTTTTTGGGAGTTTTTGAATGAAATGTCAATATACCTAGATATTGTAAAAAATCTCACACAGATCGCAAATACAAATGCTATGTTAAGTGTTTTGGGTTATTATAGCTTGTTTGGTTACCTATTGCAAAATATCTTTAGAGCTTTTTTTTAGGTTTGGTAATTTTCAGTTTTTTTTATTAACATAGAATTTGGAGCAGTCGTGATGTTATTTACAAGTTAGACGGTAGGCATAACTCAAATAAGCTGAAAGAAAATTAAAGCTAAATTTCTAATACATAAAAATCTTATTCTTTTTTATGCATAAGTTAATTTTGGAAAAGTATAACTAGCCCTTTCGTCGTTAGTAAGGTAGTTACCGTGCAGTATAGGGTGTTTTTATATTAAAAATTTATTTTTGTACAATATTGTTTTTTCAGTGATATATTTTTGATACAGAAGAATAGTTTGAAATATGCAACAAAATTAAAGTTTCTAGACTTCAAACAAAGGGCTCTGAATACATTTCAATAATAATTAATTATTTTAAACAAATATTATTTATGTACCTATACAAAAGCAGATAAAAATAGCAGATGTGTATAAAGTTATCTATAAACCTTTTTATCGCTGACAATAAAATGTCGAGGTTGATTGTGTTTGTTCTATGTATCAGGTTTTTATTTCACTATGTTGTATTATTATTAATTAAGTATAGTAATTACTGCTATAATTTTCCAAAGAGGTGGTTCCAAAAAAAAGGGTGGTTTGAGGTTAAGTTTTGAATCTGTGCTAACTTTTTCACCATCAAGTCTGTAGTGACATGTACTAAAAGATATACCAGAAAATCTACTCCTAAACGTTGATTCCAATTGTACTTTTTTGAAGCCCAGTTGTCTCTAGAGACATATACCTAAAGATATACTTATAAAAAATCTGCTCCTAGGAGTTGATTCCAATTATACTCATTTCAAGTCCAGGTCTGACCCTCAATTCATTATAATAACCAAAAATTAACATTTGCTGATTCCATTACCTAGTTCTCTGACCCTTTACAACACAAAATGGCATATCTAATAACGTTCTTTGTTAATACATAAAATGAATTAAAACTTAAAAAACACATTTTCTTTCCAGCTTTCGGCCACTTCGCGGTCGCTGTATCTGAACAAATCGGCGACAATGTTGAGAATGGGAACATAACATCCATCAAAGATAATTTTGTCACAGAATTTACCATAATATTTGATGTACTTTACAACCAATGGCTTGCCTCCTACGAAGCTAAGGTCTCAGAATCCGTACTCGAAGCTTTAGGCCCCATCACAAGACTAATCTCAGAGAGACAATTTAACGAAACTGTCAACAAATTCGTCCTTTCATTGCTGTCTTTGTACCGAAAACCGGCAATCAATTACTACTACATAAGTCAATGTATATCGTACTTACTTTCTCCGTCGCCTTTGAATCCTAAATTGAGTTTGAATGACAGTGTCATCAATTCCATAAACCATGTCTTATTTAACCTGGTTCTCTTAGAGCCGGATTATGACCAACCTCATACGGTTAAGAACCATTTCGAGGTCCTGCGGTGCTTCGACCATATGGCTGGCCAGTTCCCTGACCAAACAATAGAAAGTCTACTACACCAGTGCAAAAATAACCAAGAAAAAGACAGAATGAAAGCAGTAATCATTTTAACACACTTGACAACGTCTTCGCAGATCTTTGTCGAAAATTACGCCCATAAATTCATTGTGTTGCTCAAAATAATGACTACAATGGAACAGGGGATTAAAATGAAGAAGCTGTTAGTCAAAGCAATTGTGGGGCTCGTGTATAGGAATTGTATAACGACTCCAGAAGACTTTTCTATGGTCGAGTTCATAATAAAGCACTGCAGTTATGAAGGAGCGTCAAACGTATCCAAACATGACGTTCTGGACCTACACGACACTTGTAAAAGTTCCTTAATCCTAATGTGCAATACAGTAACTAGCATTCGGTCTCAGTTACGCAATTTATTGCTAACAGCATTAACCGGAGAAGAGTTCACAGCATCCATGGCTACCGTATGTCATTGTCTTACTTCTCTTCTCCAAAACAACTCTGATGTCGCAGCCGATGAACAATCGGAGAAGGAACTTGAAATGAAATGCTCCCCTGACCTAGTCTTCGTTCGGTGTCTCACACATGTGGTAGAACCAGACCAGGTGGAACGAAACAGAAATATTCTAGTCTTCCTTGAAGAATATTCAGGCGATGTTCACAAGAACCTTAAAAATTCGTGGACGATTGAAATTCAGAGGCTTCTGAAGTTTGTTGAGACGACGGAGACTAAAGAGCAGTGGCATAGCATGCTGTTAGATCTCCTTATGTCTGCTGTAGAACAAGTAAACAGCAATAAGTGGGTGGAATTTATCGCTACATTGATTTCTCAGCAGATTCTTTCCAAAAAACAGAGTCCAATGATCAAAGGAGTGTCTTTACAGTACTTAGCAGTTCTATCTTGTCACATGTCCAACGCTGCAGTGGTCGAAAAAATCCTTAAAATAATCCTCCTCGCTTTGAAGTCCATTCCAATGGAGAGCAGCGATTATGTTAGCAAAGCAGTAGGGATCGCGTCCAGACAACACGGAGAATTTATCCTAAATGAACTGGATGCGATTTACAAGGAAAATGAATCGAAAAGGGGCAGTAAGATACTTAATTTCTTATCTTCAAGACATTCCAAAACCGATGCAGAGTTAAGCGTGGTTCGGTACGCGGTTATCACGTGTTATGGGAAGGTGGCTGTAGACTGTTTAGATGTCCATGTTTTAGCGAGGCTAGGAGACAATGTGACCGCAATTCTATACGATATTCTGAAGTCTAATCCATCGTTTGATCTTTGCAAAGCCAGTGTTACAACCCTGTACGAGATCAGTAAGGCTTTACATCCAGCTGCACACCACAATGTGGCACTAAGAAACCGCTGGCAGTTGCTCAATGCGGTTTTAGAACAAATATACAATACCAACTTGGACAAGCGGAACGTGGAATTGTACCCTATCATAGTTAAAGCTTCGAAAGCATTGACGAAGTTACAAAAGGGAATATTGCCTGAAGAAAGAAACACTATTTTGAGGGTCCTGTTCAACAGCATATTCGGCGAACTGTCTTCTTTCAAAAAGAAATACGAAATTGAAGGCAATGGTGACAAAAATGATAACCTAGCCAAGACCTTGAACGATAGTCTTTCACTTCTGCACCAGTTGATTAAAGAGCTGATCATCCAGTCCACGTGTTTGAGCACAATTGATGATCTAATAGGGTTGTTGATCGAATGGATCCGACACGAAAACGACGAGATCCGAACAGCCTCCGTCATGATTCTGCACGTGATTTTCGACACGTACATTAAAAACGTTAAATTGAACTACGAAACGCCAAGCAAGTTTGGTCAGATGGGCTATTTGTTGGGACTCATTATTCCCGGGATCGCAGACACTAATTTCCCCGTCCGATTAACGACTATAGACTGCATTAAAGTGATAATTCAGATACAAGACTTGTACGAAGGCCACACGGTTGGCCCTGATGATGAATGCATGTTGAATTTGGGTCATCTTCAGAACAATATCTTGACGAATGACCTGAATATGATCAGTGATTACTGTACGGCGTTGTGTGAGGCTATTTCTCCGAAGATACCTCATCATCACAACATGCAGTTTATCGAAAGTTTGTTGGAAGGTTACGATGATCAGGAGTTAAGGGGTGTGGGAACGAGTGCTATATTGGATGCGTATTTCGTGAACAAGGGTCAGGATTTGTACCAGAGTATTGAGAGGATCGTGGAGGTTATGTTGGGGACGATGTCGGAGGTTGGTGTAGAGGCCCGGCAGAGATTGATGAAGCCGCTGACGTCCCTCACGCGTCATCACTCCAACGCTGTGATAGCTGTGCTGTTGGCCCAAAAGCTGCCGTTGAAACCGTAAGTTATTTTAATTAGGTTTCGTTTATCTTTATTATATACTACACATACGTAATTCTGCTGTACGTGTGTATGTCATTGAATTCCTCCTAAACGGCTTGACCGACAAATTTTTTTTTTCTGTATGCGTTTGAGTGGTTTAGATTCACAAATCAGGCCGGCAGATGGCGCTGATTGCTTAAAATAACATGGGTTGTCGGAAACGGCCTAACGATTTCGCTGTTTGATATGTGTGGGTCTTCGGGGTGGGTCCGCTAGTATAATGTATAAAAATTAAATGCTTTTCATTAAATCTCGAGAACTATCTACTGGTCCGAATTGGCTAATTTTGGCCTTAAATTATTTGTGGACGTCCAGAAAAAGTTCAAACGGTGAAAAAACTAAGTCAAATTTGAGGCGGAACCAAGTTTGCCGGGTAAACTTGTATAAAATATTTTTTGTACCACTCAAAATGTTTATATTTCCGTGAATAACTACATATTCACGGAAATATATCATCAATTTTCCATAATCATACGACTGCTTTTTGTAATTAAAATTGGCATGGTATTTAAAAGGAAATGTAAATATGTAATCCCCCCCCCCCCTCGCCCACATTTCAGGAGTGTGCTAGCCTGTTGGCGTAGCCTGGCTCAAGACGAGGGTCTCTCCTCAGCCATTACAGACAACTTCCTCAGGCTGATGACGTCAGTGGAACTGTACGAGGACCCCTACCATATAACCGAGCACCATATCGCCGCCCTCCAACCCCTAACTGTAAGTTTCTATGAATATCAAGGAAATGGGTACTTTCCTAGGTCAAAAATAAATTAATTCGACGTCTCAATACAATTAAATATCGAAAAATAACTATCCTTTTATTCATCGATCGATCGATACACTAAGTTTTAGATTTTTTTAGCAAATTATTAAGAAATAAGTTAGCAAAAATGTTATGACGTCATAACTCAGTTTTTCATACAAATTTTATAGAAAAGTCGTTTTTGACATGTAGATAAAAGTATTGAATTTGACAATACTCGGAATTTTAATTCCATTCCAGATTTGACAATTTCAGTGTTGCAACGTTATGACACGTAATAAATAGTGACGTTGCGAAATTATTCGATATGGAAATCGAATAATTCTGAATCGATTCCTCTCGTTTATAAATTTACTCTCCTAAACTAAGTTTATCAGGAAATAAAATATTTCTGAATCGATAATTTAGTTATGACAATTAATTAACGATCTGAGACTTTTCTTTTGTAATTGTGTGTGAAATTTATAAAAAATGTGATCATGTAGGAACATGATGAATAAAGCAGACATTTTATAAATTTTCGCCGTCATCGCTATCGCTGTTACTTTCTGTAACATTTATTATGAATTGTTTCTGTGATTTTTATTGTCAATTAACATATTTAGCTTACACATTTTTTCCTCTTCTTTGACAACATGGGATACGCATTTAGACCATTCGGTAGCCGTAATTTTAAGAATGCCTTCCTGAAACTGATTCACTGATTGTTTATCGATTTCTTTGTTCATCACTACACTGTTATATGTGGTATTATTATTTCACAAAATGACAGTAGGTCATGTCAAATCAGGAATCGAATTAAAATTCTGACTATAGTTGGAAACTACCGTATTGTGCCAATCTTGCACAATTATATTTTCTATTTTCGACTGAAGTTTTAAGCGTGGCTGTTGACACTGCCATACCTACTTTGGCACGAATAGACCGACTCTACTTCAGACCTAAACTGGCTACAAAATCTTCCTTTCTTTTCCTGCTACAAGCCGGGACCGCATTACTGCACTTGCACTCCAAACCCCAGTTGGCCACAGATCACCTGATTAAACCGCAGATGCATATCCGGAACACCAGATGGGTGGCAAGTGTGTTGACGACATTTTGGGGGTTGGGGACTTAAGATAAGAAGGGGGAGGATTGTACCTCCAATAACCCCACTTACAAGGCGTTGTTTCATTCTGATTTTCTGTGAGGCCGTGGTATCACTCCGGTCGAGCCGACCCACTCGTACCGAAGCATGGATCTTCAAGACTAACTACATAAGGATAATCGAGAATGTACTTTAAATTACAGCTCATAAGTGCCTTCGGTGAGATGTTACAAGAACCAACAATGAAACCCATCTGTATCGCCAAGTTCGCGGATTTGTTCGCAGTCCTTTACACAACGCTCGCTTGCTACATTGACGCGGAATCGCCTGCCTATTCCCCGCCCACCAATAAGACGCAAGAACGGTTCGGTTTCATCCCCAACAGAGACGCTATTAAATTGTCTCCAGCGAAAATTACTGTGCAGACTTTTAACGCGTTTCTGGAGCAAGCTGATTGTCATAAGGTATGTCGATCATTTCGTTATTTATCTTTTTTCACCTAATTGTAGAATGGTGTTGTGGCATTGTACATAGAAGTTCAAAGATAATATATAATATTCACTGACTATTAAATCCAAATCTTTGGACTTTCGATCCGGAAAATTAAATGTATGTTAATATTTTATTAAGATCGGTTGTTAATTTCATTCTATATATCGTAAAGAGTTTCCTATGCGCATTGCAGTGATAAGGTATATCTCAAAAACTTGTTTTTTCCCATTCAAATTCAGTTTATTAATTTTGCAGGGAAACCAGTCTTAAAATCCTATTCTTTGCCATTTAAAAACCAGTCTAAAAATCCTTTTCTTTCCCACATAAAACTGTTTTTGTCAGAAAAAAAATAAGATTTTCCATATACAAAAATCCTTCCAACGTGTTTATTTTTAACGTAACCTTCAAAACGTGTTTTCTTACTAAAACTCCTCTTGAACCACACGCTAGGTCCGCGAAGCGTGTTCCCTGTGCCTGAGTATAGAGCACGGCGACCCTTGCAGTACAGTCCTGGAGCTGGCCCCCATCCTGGGCGGCGCGCTGGCGCGGCACTGTCCGCAGCACGCCGCGCGCCTCGTCGCCGCCGTCGCCAGCTACGCGCGCTGTCCGCTGCCCCCCCAGCGATGCGCCGCGCTAGCCTTGCTAGGGGATCTACTTAACTATAGGTAAGATTACCAAATCCTGAATGTGGTGTGGTGTGGAGGAAAGGTTTTTCTTAAAAGAAAAAAATGTATTGTTCAATACGACTCAGTAATTACGGAAATAAAAAATTGAAATCCAAACTAATATTATAAATGTGAAAGTAACTCTGTCTGTCTTTCTTTTCGTCATGCCTAAATTACTGGACCGATTTGTATGAAATTTGGTACGGATATAATTTGGAACTCGAGAAAGGACATGGTCACAGGCAAAGGCTAGTAATAAAATAAACTTAGCTTTATAATGTTAGTATAGTTTACTGGAAGTTTTTTTTATGTAATTGGTCAGCAACCGAGCAGACGGATTACCTGATGGTAAGCAATCAGCGTTGCCCATGGACACCCGCAACGGAGGATTTACGAGTGCGTTGCCGACCTTTTAGAGATTAGGGATTTGGAGATTTAGGGATTGAGGAGGGATTGGGGGCGGGGAAGGATTGGGCCTCCGGTAACCTCACTCACACGGCGAAACACAACGCCGTGGTTGTTACACGCCGGTCTTCTGTGAGGCCGTGGTATCACTCCGGTCAAGCCGACCCATTCGTGCCGAAGCATGACTCTCCCGCACTTAAGTTCTACTACAATTTGACAAAACAAATTGGTTTGTTAGATTTGTTTGTTTAGTTTTTGTTGTAGTTTGTTAGATTGGGCAACCACTGGTATCTATAAGAGTAGAAATCGCCTCTATGAGCTTTATAATGAGCGGACATATATTAACACTGTTGAATTCAGTGAATATGTAAAAAACTATTCTAAATTATTCAAAAAGGTTTGCTCTATTGCTAAATCACTATTCTTAAGCTCTAAGATAAAGAACAGTACCAATGTTATCAAAGACACTTGGAATATTATCAATAGTGAGGCAGGAAGGTCTAAAAAGAGAATAAATCAACATAGTCTTGTAATTGATAATAAGTTAATAAAAGCGGATGTAGAAATTGCAACTGCTTTTGAAAATTTCTTTTCCGACATTCCTGTATCCACTACTAAGTCACTGAATTCATCTCCCACTGTTGCAGAGTCTTTACTCAAAAAACATGTTGTAGCTTGCGATTCAGGGTTTTCCTTCGAGCACATAGATAACAAAGAAATTGTTAAAATCTTTAATACTTTGAATAACAAAAAGACTGCAGATCTATGGGGTAATTCTGTGTATATTACAAGCTCTGTAATAACTATTGTAGCACCTGTATTAGCTCAAATCTTTAATAACTGTATTGACTGTGGTGTGTTTCCTGATCTTATGAAATGTAGTAAAATAATTCAATTATTTAAATCAGGTAGTACTTCTGACCCCACTAACTTTAGACCGATTTCAGTGCTACCTACTTTCAGTAAAATTTTTGAAAAAAATATTTTAGATCAAATGCAAAGATTTTTTAATAGAAATAAATTATTACATGCGAAACAGTTCGGATTTACAAGGGATCGTTCAACAACTGATGCCGGTGTTGAACTTCTTAATCACATTTACGACGCATGGGAGGACTCAAGCGACGCTTTGGGAATATTTTGTGATTTATCCAAGGCGTTCGATTGTGTGCTTCATGATACACTGATCAGGAAGCTATCCCATTACGGAATAAGAGGTGCATCTCTGGACCTTCTTACCTCATACCTGAGTAATAGGGTTCAGAGAGTTGAAGTAAACGGAGTGGTTTCTGCCGGATCTGTTGTGAGGATGGGTGTTCCGCAGGGTTCTATCCTCGGCCCGTTTTTATTTCTTATCTATATTAATGACTTGCCTTACCTTGTAAGGGATAGACACGAGATAGTGCTGTTTGCTGATGATACCTCACTATTATTCAAACTCAGACGACGACAATTAGTTATTGACAATGTAAACAGCGCTCTTTTAGAAATAGTTCACTGGTTTGGTGTTAATAACTTATTACTAAACGAAACTAAAACTAAATGTATTAAATTCACAACACCAAATGTTAAACAGGTAAAAACCAGTGTGCTTGTCAAGGGCGAGGAGTTGAGTCCTGTAGATACAACTGTCTTTTTAGGTATAACCCTGGACGCTAAGCTCCAGTGGGGCCCACATATAGATGGCTTGTCGAAGAAGCTCAGTTCTGCAGCATATGCCGTTAAAAAAATTAGAAATTTAACAGATGTAGATACAGCGCGGTTAGTTTATTTTAGTTATTTCCACAGCATCATGTCATACGGTATTTTGTTGTGGGGGAATGCTGCTGACATTCAGTCTATTTTTGTTCTGCAGAAAAGGGCTATTCGATCAATCTATAATCTTAGTCCGAGGCATTCGCTCAGAGAATTATTTAAGGAAACTAAGATAATGACGGTTGCCTCACAATATATTTATGAAAATGTAATTCACGCTCATAAAAACAAAAGCTTATTTAAGAAGCATAGTGATATACATAATATTAACACGAGGGGGAAAAACAAATATGTTGTCCCCGCCTCCAGGCTTCAGAAAATAAGTAGTTCGTTTAGATGTCAATGTTGTTTAGATGTATGCTTTTACAATAAAATTCCTAGGGATATTCAAAATTTGAGCCTCAATAATTTTAAAAGTGTAATAAAGGCTAAACTTTACTGTAAAGCATTTTATAAAATAAAAGACTACTTAGAAGATAGTCAGGCTTGGGAATGAGCCGCTTTAACTTCTGCACAGGTCATGTTGACATGTTTGTAACATAAGTTACGCTTTTTATATACAATTTGACATTACGTTTATTACTATTATTTTTTAACAATGACATTATCACCTATTGTGACATTTTTATTTTTATTTGACATTTTTTTATTTTATTTATTATTTTTATAATTATTTATTGACGTTATTATTATTTTCTATTATTGTTAGTGTAAGGACCGTGTGAGACTTGCCGCGCTTTTGGACTACCAGTTATCTGCGTTCTGAGAGTACTTGCGTGACCCAACCAAATGTTCTTTAGATCGGTATTGTTCGTCGGACAACTCAGCAGCACTTGCTATGCTGGTTGCAAACTGACACTTGCGTGCCTGTCTTCAGAACGGGTCCACTTAAACTGGTGTGGTTCTTTCATCAAAAGACCACTACAGAATGAACTTGCACGGTTCTCTCACATTATGTTATTTTTACATTGTCTGGACTTGAAAAGAGACTGACCTCTGAGTTTGTTTCGGCATTTCTTCTCAGAGTAGTCACATAGGAAATGCCGGCTTCATCTAGTTTTTTACATATAAAGTGCCGTTTTATGGCCTATTTGCAAAAATAAATTCATTATTTCATTGTTTGTTTCAAAATAAAGAAAAATGCTAGTCGAAATCCGACTTCAAAAAGATTGATGATGATGATTGATTGAAAGAAGACTTCTCATTTCTCTTAAGTCATGGCATGAATGATAAACAAATTAAAAAGTATTTATTTGATACTTTAGGCATAGACCAGTCAGTCTGCCTTACCATACTATCAATATTAAATGCAAGAATTTCCTTCCCAGATGCAACAACAACCCGGTCCTAATAGAGACAGTTCTAGCAACACTCAACACAGGCTGGAAGGATGAGAATGACCGGGTTCGCGCCACGTGTCTCCGTGGGGCCGCCAATATAGCACAGCTTAAACCCGAACACAGGAACCAAGCACTGCCTGCTGCCTTAGCCGCATTGAGCCAAGGAGTTGACGCACAGAAAACACAGTAAGATATTTTTTTAAGAAACTTGCTTTTCCCATGTGGTGTTGTGGACTAGTCAAAGCTAATTAGATATTTGACGACCTAGCTTGTATAATAAATGATACCACAGCACAATTGTTGACTGTGCAACGGTATTAGAGCTTGTTATTGATTGATGATAAATCTTAGGATAAATTTTCAACGAAAGAAGTTTTTAACTTTGAAATTCTCAATGGCACAAACTGTAAACTTGAATCTGGTTAACATTGTGCTCTCAACAACTTTATCATCATATTTCATGTAAATATTCTTTAGGTTTTTATACATATTCTTTTGGTTGGTATTGTTCGTCGGACAATTCAAAAACCACCAGTGACGTGTCGTAACCAGAACTGATCCACTAAAGTTGTTGTAGTTCTTTCCTCAAAATACCACTATGAATGTATTTTTCACGGTTCTCAAACTTTAAAAGATTTCTTTTGAAATTATCAGATAAAAAATGCCAGCTTCATCTGTATGTAATGTTGACGTGTAAATAAATTGTTGTTTTTTATGTGATCGCTCGCCATACGAGCTATAAGCGCCGTATATGGTCACACGTAACGAAGGAGGTGCGAGTGCGTTGCCTACCTTTTGGGGATTAGGGATTGGGAGATTTCGGAAATGGGGGGTGGATTGGGGGAGGGGAAGGATTGGGCCTCCGGTAACCTCACATACACGGTGAAACACAACGCTGTGGTTGTTTCATGCCGGTTTTCTGTGAGGCTGTGGTATCGCTCTCCCACACATATGCTGTTTTGTTATTGCCTATTATTATTATTAACTACAAATTAATTGTTACATCAAACAAAACTAAATTAAATCCCATTTTTATCCACAGAACACCATCAGACAATGTGCCTTTAGCTGCAATTCAGGGCTTAAGTCGTCTTCTAACAGAATTAGACAAAATAGACAAAGAGTTCGATAGAGAACTTCTATCGATATCTCAAAAAATCCGTCCTTTTATGAACACGGAGTGCCCACAACTGAGAGAGCATTCTATCAAGCTGTTCGGGATTATTGTGGGCCGAGTGAGGTCGGATGCCCTCGTCGACCAAGGAGTCAGCTCTCTGCCTTGTTTCTTACTGCATTTGTGCGATAAGAACCCTAATGTCGTCAGGGTAAGTTGTTTTATTGTTAGTTTTGATTTAAGTATTAGAAAAGGTAAAAATAATACGACTTTTTTAGAAGAATTCGGGTCTTGAGAGATCAGTAATATAATATGTATAATAATAAATTTTATCGACATGTTAACACAATTAAATTACACTTCCATTAATTGATTTAACAATATACTTTATAATAGTCTTTTTTGTAGCTATATTTGAATGCCTTTTCTAAAAAAATGGCGATTGACAGTTTGGATAAAATGTTGAGCTTTTTTTCATTCATTTTTTAAACTATTTTTTAAAGTATTTTACTATAATTTTATTCTTTACTATGCTGTACTATATTTTTTATATCTCATTAGATACTCAGAAAATTTTCGTTCTAGCAATTACACACAGCAAAAATGATTTTGTATATTAACACGGACACTCTCAACAGGCCAGCAAATTCACTCTAAAACAAGTCTTCAAGACGTTCAACGTGAAGAAATCGAATGACTTCGTCCAGACACATCTCTTGGACGAAGGTCGATTATACCTGGACGAGTTCCTCTCAGCATTGCTGAGGCAGTTAGCTGATGAGCTACCGTCCAGCATCGTGAAGTGCCTGCAGACTGCTGTCAACTACCTTCATTGTGCCAGGGACGAGATCAAACCACACCCACCTCTATTACTCGGTGAGTTATGTATTTTGACCTCTATTTTCAAAGTACTAAGAGTCAGGGTTGTTCTAAAGATTGATATAATAATATGTTATTAGGTAAGAAGTGATGTGTTTTGGGCTTTATTTTCAGAGACATAAGAGCTAGAATGATTGTTTGTGGTGTTAATTGGTAACTTTGATTATTGAAGTTGAAATATAAGAAACTGGTTGTCGGAATTAAATTATTTGCTGGCCTTGTAAAGTTCAAATGCAAGCTTTTAGATTTTATCAATATTGTAATTGGAGTGAAATTGGGTTGAAGATTACCTAGTGAGCCGACTTACTTTTCCTTTATTACCAATCTAGCTAGAAATTAATGTAAACTTTAACTCACTCCGAACATAAAACCAAAATCTATACTTTAATACTATAAAGCTGAAGAGTTTATTTGTTTGTTTGAACACGCTTATCTTAGGAACTACTGGTTCGAATTGGAAAATTCTTTTTGTGTTTAATAGACCATTTAACGAGGAAGGCTTTTAGGATGAAACATCACGCTACGATCTGTAGGAACCGAGCAGCGAGTGAAACCGTGCAAGTAGCTATCGTATTATAAAAGAAGGCCATAATTCAATATCCAACACGACACCTCAAATCTTAACTTCCCACTTCCCAGGTCTCCTCTACGCAGAACTATACAGGATTCGCGAGCAAAACCCGGATGAGACGGAATTGGACCCGGATATAACGAAGACGGCTCGGACACGGTTATTACAGCTGATCAAAGACCCTAATCCCTTGGTACGGCAGAACACCGCCATGGCTCTAGCCAATATATGCTTGGTGAGCGCCTTGGATGGATGACGGAGGCTCGTCAGGGTCGAAGTGGAAAGGTACGTCATGAGGAGGGTACTCTTTGAATTCCAACGTTAAAATGCATAAATTGTCTCGTTTACTTCATTTTCGACCTTATAATCAGGTTGTTTGAGTTGAAAATCTGTTGATTCCTGTGCTAGCATAAACTGTCTCATATGTCAAAATTATAGATTGTAGATGAAATTCGAACTAAAGAGTCTGTGTTTTGTTTGATTTTGGGCTTTATTAAAAAAGCATAAAGTTGAAAGTCTTGAAATATTATTTTTACGATAAAGTTAAAATACAAATAAAGATATTTGACAGTTTATGGTTGTTCAAAGTCAATAGTTATAAACATGGATATATTACAGCTAAGAGACGCTGTTGTACTTTAAAATCCACTAGACCATTATTAAGATATTATGTGCTTTATTCTACTTATTTCTTAACATTCATGTCCTAGGTGCTTTGAACTAGTGGAACTTTAAGCTATAGTAGCGTCATCTAGCAAACATTTACGGCAGGAATTATTAACCGATATCAATCCAAAGTTGACATCCTTTGCTGGGTAATCGGTTGTTGTCCATCGCGTCGAAGGTTCGATTTCTGTACAGAACAACTCTTTGTTTGTCCAAAAAATTATTGTACCGGGTCTGGGTGTTAATAGTATTTAAAATTACGTGTTTGAAAAAAATCATAGAGCGAAACAATGCTTTTTTTTATGAAAAACTAAAGCTTCTCAACTAGTTCTCTAAGATTTTGGATTGAAATCAGCTACTAGTTATGAAAATACACATACTTAAAAATTACTTTGTTAAGACATAATAATAACATAAAGATATTACTAAAAATTACCAATATATTAAATCTGAGTTTTATAAAATACTCAGTTGACACTCAAATTGTTGTAAAACATTTCTATTTGAGTACTAAATGAGTGTCTACTGAATGGACTTGATTATTGGGATATATATTGGTTACTAGATGTCATATACACATAATATAATGTCTGATTAATAATATAATCTTTTTCATTTTCGACATACAAGAGACTGAATAAAATTAAACAGTCAAATTAATATAAAAAATATATAAAATTCGAATAAAAACCGCTGTATCTGTATAATTTGTTCTATTAATAAAATTAATAATTGAATTAAAAATTATAAAAAGAAATCTTGCTCAGGCATAGCTTTGGTATTTAATATTCGTGTATCCTTAACTTAAAGCGACAGTGGCGCCGCGCTTACGGAACTTTTGAGTAGAAAACAAATGGTAGAAAGTAGTAGTTGCAATGCTTACAGAATATTATTTTAAAACGAAGGTATAAAGGTTAGCTTGAACAAGATTCCGTCAATGATCGTTATTTTTGTGATATTGTTTTTTTATATTTTAGTTGTTAAGGTATAACCGAAGATGGTAGATGTTGCTTGATTTTAAACTTTTTATCAAAATATAGTTTTCCTCACCTTAGTTACTTCATACCTGTGAAAAGGTCGGCCGTCGCGCCGCTTTTAAATAAGAGTCTCGTTGCTTGTTAATTCACTTGAGTAGGTCGTTATTTTCAATATATTTAGTTCGGATCACGAGAGTTATTACAAAAAAAAAACATCGTTCTAATCACCGATTCCATGATCATTCCAAATTTTTTGATTGTTATTGTTTGTAGTGAGTAATTGAGCATTTTTAATAATAATATTTTTTTGTTTTGACTCAAGTCAATCAAAGGAGGTTTGTTTATTTGTTAGAAATATGTCATCAACTGCAAAAAGGATCGGTGCACCTTTTGCAGGTATTTTGCTACCTACCATACACTATATTTTTTTCGTACCAACCTTTATTTCATAATAAGGCTTAAAACCTAGTTAAAACAAATTATTATTTTTATTAGCTTCTATAAAATATTAATTACGTTACATTTTAGTCCAAAAAATGTGAACACAATTTTGTCTCAAAATCAAGTGACATCCGTCTCTTCATAGATTTTTTTTTTAATTAATTCAATTCGTTTTATTATAATTATTAGTAGCGAAGAATCTTGTGATTACTGTACACTGCTCAAAAGCATATAGTTACAATTCCCAGTTGATTTTACTAACAGTTTTTGTTTTTTCGTGAAACTTAATGATATTAATTAGTGTGTAGGTAATTAATTGTATTTTGCTTGTTTGTATATTAATGTTTTGTATATCTACTTAATAAAAATATTTTAGAATAGTAACTAATACAGTGTAGTCAGAAGTTTAAATTAACAGAATTAAGTCTTCAATCTATTTAAAAAAATCTGAATATTATGTTTGTTTAAAAGTCAATTAGATATTTTAAATGTATATTTAACAAAAAAGTTAAGAAATTTCATAGCACACTTATGGAAAAGAAAAATAAATTTCGTTTGTTGTTAATCAAGTTTGTTCGATGTAATCTCATAAATTGCTAAACAGATATTCATAGATTTGTAACTTGTTGAATAAACATTTTATATTTATACTATAGCTTATCGTTTTTGTGTTAATTGTGTAAGGATAGTAAAATAATGAATGTTGTTCTTTTCTCATAGGTTAAAGTTTTGGTATAATGATTAGTTTTAGATCATTCTTTTCGATATTACATTCACTCTTTGTTATAAAAACTTCTGCAATATTAGTAGAAAGATAAGTGTTCATGTTAAAAATTTTGTTTTGTTATGAATTTATTATTAATTGGTCGCCACAGACAGAAAAAATTGAATTAAATGATGAAATATTTTATTTGAAATAAAGCTTCAAGCTATAATGCCTTATAACATTTAAATGTTGTCATACACAAAAAAATATAAAAATGGTATAAAAAAATACGATTATACAATTTAGGGATGGGCCAATTTTAAGTTAACTTCTGTCTTTGTCACACTGCAAATGTGTGACAAGGATGGAAATACTACTTGAAAGCAAGATACATATAATATAAATATGTATTGGTTCTTTGAAATAAGACCAAAAAGTCCAAAAAATATTTTTCACACAAATTATATTTTATTATTATTACATGGTTTATGGTTATAGATTTAATGTCTTTTTCCTTTTCTCTTTTTGGTCTAATTTCATTTTATAATAATAGTTAATGTCATTGTATGTTTTGTTTCAAATTATTGTTAATTTAAAATATTGAATTGTTTTTTTATTAAAACACAAACATTCAAATAGTGATTGAACTGCTGCCTTATTACAAAAGTTATATTCAGGTGCAGATGTAATAAAAGGAAAATATTAATAGTTCTTTAACAGGGAATATGCCCAATATTATAGTTCAGTAAAAAAAATCTTCACTTTCTCTGGTGTCCTAAATCAACAAGAACCTGACATTCTGCGAATAAACAAATTAAACTTTGAATTTATTATTTTACTCAGACTGTTTTACGAGATCTCGTCGAGTTCGTGAGAACTCGTCTAGTTTCAAGCCACGCTAGGGCTCATTTAAAGTTGTAATGATAAAATAAACTTTGGATACTATTTTATTTATCTATTCATATAAATCTCAATGAATTAGTCCCCAAAAGATTCTCAGTAAGTTTTCACAGTACATGTATATTTTAGTTACCAAATTTTAAAATATTAGATGGGTGAGCCGAAATTTCCGATTTACATCTGCATCTACACATAATTTGAACACAATATAATCTAGTACTATAATGTTATATATGTTTAAGGTTGAAAATAAAGCTATGTTGAAGTCACTTGTATCTTTTATTCATTGTTCGAATTAAATCTGTTTACCTTGTATACGAGCAGCTGAAAATAAGGTTAGTCACACAGAAAGGTGTATAATAACATCCATTAAATAGTGCAGAAAATTTCACCAATGCACACTTGCGAAGCTATTTCGAAATAAAATGCTAAATTATAACAATAATTTATTAACAACAATAACGAACAAATTTTGAATCAAAGAATTTAACCATATATATCTATGTATCTACTTAGATAGGTACAAATAGAAAATTATCATAAAACACAAATTAAAAATCACATTCGATTTTCATTTAAATATCAAATAATCACTAGGCTAGTATTACCTACCAACTTGAAATAAATTTAAATCATTAATTTAATTCAAAACCAGGGCAAATCATGTCATATAGAACTGTATCAGGTAATCAATGCTAAGGTTTTAAACCTATTATATTAGGTATTATATCACTCTTATACAACACTAACGCCATTTAAGCATTTATTATTATAATCCCTGCACTAAATAGGTAGGTAATATGAATAGTCATCATTTAAAGTTTCAGGATTTATTGTTCTTTTCTAAATTAGTAAAAGTATGTATATTATTTCATAGTATAATTCTTTATTTGCCTTTGATATTGTTGTCTTCGGTGCGCCTCCATTATTTCTGTCTCTTTACAAGCACTGCATCTGTGTAAATTAAACGTTACTATGATATTATGTGGAAGTCACAATTATTGTCACTTGTAAGGTTTCGAACCCTTTCGAACCTCACGCTCAACCTTTAGCGTCTTAACCTCTGGGTCACCACGACGCTCATCAATCTCATTAGGAAATAACAATAATTAAATATGTCTTAGGTGTTTACATACGGGGTCAATTTATGCCGCAGCCAGAACTCCTTGGTCGGGTCACAGTAGCTCCTCAGCTGTTGTTTGTCCCAGGACACTGTGTCCATCCTCCATTCGGGAGACACGTAGGGATGACGTAGGCGCGGCAATGTCACCTGTTTGTTCGTATGAAGAATAGATGTGATAACGTTACTCGCAACGTATTTTTGTAAGCACAACGTCCGAGGTTACGTTTTGTTAGCGCAATATTTGTCCGGCTTTGTACAATTAAAGCGACAATAAATAAATTAGGTGCAACAAATAATTTATTCTTTAATATTCTTCCTTTAAAAAAACGTTGCCCCACCTTAGGATTTTCTCCTGTGTCGTGGGTGCGATAACAAACATACAACTCACATGCACATGACACCCAGACCCGGAACAACAATTTGTGGATCGCAAGTTGTTCCGTGCGGGAATATTAGGTGAAGGCAGAAACTACGAAGTATCTACGAACCTTGTTTTGGGGAAGTCATCAAATTAATGAATGAATTACTTCTCCTACTTCAAGTCGAAGCCGGGGAACATTGCGCTTGATCCGCAACTCCGGATGAACACCCTATTGGGCCATTTCTTGGTGTGTGGGCTATTTAAATGCGGAATGCTATGCACTGTAAGATTGGTCTGGTTCTGGTCGGGCGACGAGCTAACCTTGTTCGCCCTCCGCAGTTGCCCGCTTAAAGAGGCATGGCCCTTCCGACTTCAACTTCTTGCATATTCATGAACTTGATCATACATGCACACATTGTTAAATCTAACTATCTACGCTCTTTTTCACTTACCGGATTAGCTGGTGCGGGTAAGGGAGACAGCGGCGCTTTCATATTGACGTAATCAGGAACTGCCTCCCTGTTCATCCTTGCGACAGTACTGGTGTACATGGCGTCGCATAGGATTGCCCTCGATTCGGCACACTCGATGTCATCCACGCTGACTGCTGGAGTCATCACAACGCGGGGCCGCGTTTTTATTACCTGGGCTAATTCTGTGTCCGGCTGTTTTACCTGGATATTCGTTAATTTAGTGAATATAATATTGTTTGGTAGGTTGTAGTTACTTTAGAATAATGTTAATGCGGGCTGAATGACTAGTCGTTTGATATAATGGCTAAATTTTTTATTCACGCTGTAAGTTGAAGGTTGAAAGGATTGTTACTAAAACCCAGTTGCTACCAGAGTGGTAAGTAAGGTTGTTAGAACTGTAAACCGCGCAGAAATCGAATTGTCATTGCAAATAAACAGCTACTCAAATTGTATTGCGAATAAAGGGCTAGCTGGTTGATTAAACCGCTATTTTAATCAGTTGACTGCGACTGCATTTTGAACAATTACCTATATCTGCGTTTGCAATACCTACTGGCTATTTCTTAATAGACTATTAGGTTCTCTAAGTTATTAGCTGCAATAATAAGGTACCGCAACCCTGGCTCGGACTAGTAGGCCTGCCATGACGTGTTAGTGTGAATTTTCCGAGCGAGAAAGAAGGATGGAGTTAAAAAAGGTGTATAGCTCCATCCCTCTTTCTCGCCCGAAAGATTCACGCTTTAATGTCATGGTAGGCCCTCAGGAGAGGGAACGGTGTGATTTTTAGTCAGCATAGTCTGACATTCTCTTTTGCCGCACTTAGGGTGGGAGAAATCATTTATCTATCTACCCTAACAATACTGGCTTCTCCCAATTTCTCATCTAGTGCTTCAGCTGTTGTTCACCACCTGTTTAGGCTCTATAAAAAATTTAGGGTAAAATTCGTAAGTGCAAGTGAAAGGAATATAAAAAAATTGTGTTCTCCTACAGACGTGGTCGGAAAGAAAAAATAACAAAGACATTTTTAATATCTCTGGTGATGGCAGAAACTACGAAGTAACTACGAATCCTGTTTGCCTTATTTTGCTGTGCCCTACTGGGTCCATAATTGATCTCACACAAATTGTTACCACCTTTAAATGTACTTATGGAAAAGCAATAAAGATATTGAGTATTGAGTACCTAACCTTGGACAAAGACATTTTTAATATCTCTGGTAGATATTAAAAATGTCTTTGTTATTTTTTCTTTCCGACCATGTCTGTAGGAGAACACATTTTTTTTTATATTCCTTTCACTTGCACTTACGAATTTTACCCCAAATTTTTAAACAAAGATGATGATAAAAATATTGTTGGTTTTATTACAGTAACAAATAGTACTAACATAAGGCTCCTGAACTTTATTGGGATCCTTACGTAGAATCGGATGTGGTTTATGCCATAAACTAAACGGAACCGGCGCAGTTTTCCAAGGAGTCAGTGTGTGGACGTCTTTCAAAGGCGGAGGCCTTATACTCAGGCATTTGGGCTTTTCCTCATATTTTGTGAAGACAGGAGCCCGAATCTGACCATGACGGTAATCGGTTTTGTAAGTAGTTTGATAGTCAAACAGCATGTCCTCCAATCTAGTTTCTATGTCTGACATTTTCTAGTGTTTTGAGGATTTCCTAGTCTATATAGATATTATGTATATTAAGACTTTAATCTAAGAGTAAATTTCCCTAAAAGTTTATTTATAAATTTCCAAAACGCAGCGTCGAGTCGATGTATGTAAATGTCAAGTTTGACATTGTCACATGTTTTTTTTTATTTGAAAGGGAAAATATTGATGGTGGTTGGGCGAAAAGGCGAAAAACTCTTTGGTTTTACTTGTTAGCCGTGTCAACATTCACGTTTTTATTTAAAGACTTTCAAGCTATAACACATGTAGGGGTAGAATTCCCATTGAATTAAATCTGAAACATAATCCATGTTTATACTACTTCTCTATACTAATATTATAAATGCGAAAGTAACTCTGTCTGTCTGTTTTTTCTTTACGCCTAAACTACTGAACCAATTTCTGTGGAATTTGGTACAGACATAGGTAGTTTGAAACTCGAGAAAGTACATGGGATAGTTTAATAACTGCAGGAAGTCACTATTCACTAGTACCTAACTAACCACTAGTTATGGTATAAAACAAAGTCCCTTTGTCTCTTTATGCTTGAATCTTTAAAACTACGCAATGGATTTTGATCCGGTTTCTTTTAGTAGATTGATTGGAGAGGAATAGCGATCCATTAGTATTATATAAATAAATAAACTAATAAAGTAACAAATCCTCATTGCGTCAAATACCTACATGGAAACCAGTAGAAAAAAGTATTTATGACTACAACATACAAAGACAACAATGCACCATAAAATAAAACAATCGAATCATAATTTAAATAATTTATTTTTAAAATTCATCAATAATTTACACCATGTAATAAACATTTCAAATTATTCAGATAATACCACAAAAATAAAAATAATATTTTATTATCACAAAATTGATAAACTATAGACGTTGTGGAATCTCTGGTCAATATTATCTGTGGACCCCTTAAATACCCCATAGAGACAAAAAAACAATTTAAATATTAACTATTTCCTATTATATTATTAGTTGTTGTAGGACAGATATACAGTATTATTTTCAAAAATATTACTCCATATATTTTATATTATAGTACTTTAGAAAGATGTTCAAATGTATTTTTTATTGAAAGTTGGTTCAGCCGTTTACGAGATAGCAGCAGAAATACTAACAAATGAAATAAAATTTGAAAATTTACACGAATCTAATTATCATTTTCTTCTTCTATACGAGATCAAAATCACATAATACAAAAATATTAAGTAGACATTTTTATTTATCTTAAATATTAAATTCATTTGAACGCCAAAATTTACATTTTTACATAGAAAGCGTTAATTACTAGTTAAGTTCAGTCACTAATTAGTAGCAAGAGTTACAGCAGTCAAATCTCTTATAAATTTTAGGATCTAATTAAATAGAGCAGTAACTAAACGAAAACGACCGATAATTAATTATAATATTACAATAAACTGATACATGATTGTATTGAGGTTATAATGCTGTTGGTATGAGGAACTAGCGTGCTTTCAAATAATCTATCATTTAAGTGGGCAAATCGTAATCATAATTAATTTAAGGTCCATGAATAAATAAAATTTTAAATCTATGCACCTACTAGATGGCGTTAGTGCGCTATAAAATTAATTTGAAAAAAAAAATGAATGGTAATGGAGTATTTTATTACTTGTAGTATTGAATGCATCTGTAATTATATATTTTATGCAATTGAAATAATATACATTACCACTTCTAGAATCACGTCGCACGACAATGACTCTGCTACTGACTACTTGCCAGACGAAAAAGAATTTTTTTTTGCATAAATAATTGGAACAAAAAACTTTTTAATCTACCTACTTAACATTAAAAAGCACACTTTCAGTCTATGCCCCGCAAAGACTACGTTTTATTTACATATAAATATAATATTATACAAACAAAACTTATATACAAAATTAGCTAAAGTGGTAATTGATTATATTTTCTATAAGTTTTCACGATAAATGTTCCATGCTTTGGTTGGGCAAAAATTGGACTATATTATATTGGTCCTACGCTACTAAATGTACACACAATAATAGAACTATTATTGCATTACGTACAATTTACAGCAAGTCTTAATTTAAAAATTCGTTCACTAAAATAAATTAAGTAACCCAATTTGTCAAACGGCCCATAAATCCACACGACATCGCGTCAACCTTACCAAAATCCCACATGCCCAATCAGGTTATCACGTAATAATAAAAAAGATATAACACTTAAACCATAGATAGTATAAATACACTTTGACACCTTAAAATTGACAGGAAAATTGGCGCCAATTTTGACGTTTGAAAATGGCTGTCTACTCTCAATTGAAATATGAGTGCAATAACACCATTAGAAGGCATTGTATGATGAGTAGAACAGCCGAGGATAAAAAATTAGCTATATTTATGTTACTGCCATACATTAATGTATGTTTTCGTCAATCCGGGACCTTTATTTCGGCCCAGATTGGGCAGAAGGGGGACGCTGGGCCTCCCCAAGACCAGCCACGTGGTATGGCTAGGTGGCTAAGTCCTGTTTTGATAACACCCGAGTGTCCATTAAAAGAGGTGCTGTCCAACATCCCGGGGCACAGGATGCCGCTTTGACCCGTAGCTTTCACGTCGACCGTGGTAACGATTTCTTCGTTCAGTACCGATTGGCAGGTTTTGAATGCTGGAATAGAAAAAAAAAACGAATTATTATAATTATGTTTCTCTCAATCGTCTTGGTGGCCCGGAGGTTAAGGCGCCCGCTTCCGCTTTGGTTTTCGATACCTGGCAAGTAACAATGTGAATGTACTTTCTGTGTTTATTTAGACACCATTGACATACGGTGAAGGAAAACATTATGAAACCTGGACTTATAATTTCTATTTTTTAGTTTTAAGTCGTCAATGCGCCTTGAGGAAGCGTGGTGATTAATGCTCAAACCTTCTCCGTGTGAGAATAGGGCTTTGCTTAGCAGTGGAAACTTATAGGCTGATGATTTTTCTCTTAAAACTTATCGGACTTACATTAATAATAAAACTGAGAAAAGAGTTCCATATGTACATAAGAAAAAACTAGAGGACGTCCGGAGTAAAAAGATCATTATAGATTTGGACACATCTGTGTTCTTAGCATTTAAAAATAATCCAATTACATAATATTGTTCAACTGAAATAGACATTACGTTTGCCCATTTTTTGCATTTTGCACGCGACAATGAGTCAGATTTCTATAAAAATACATTGCACTCGACTTATTTTATTCATGGTTGCAACTTCGAATGGAGCAACAATATTCATATTAGATTTTGGGTTCTTGAATTTCGTATTTAATTGTTTAATTTCCTAGGCCCAACATTTTTTTATTTTTTCTTTTTAATACAATTAATTTTAATAAAATATACTTATTCTTTCATTAATGGATTTGACGATAGTAAGGACTCATCTTAATATGTATTTTATATTATTGGAGCTAATTTTTAAGAGATAGTAATATATATAAGTCATAAAACATTATGACGTCATATGTTGCGATTTCATTCGAAATTACATAGAAAAGTTTTGTTTATCTTATATCATATAAATGAAAGTATTTGACCTATTGGAAACTACCAGATTTAGGTGGTCTAACTTAGTTAGTTTATCTAAAATCGTAACCATGACATACGTACATATGTGTGCGGCGAATGTCACGGCGAATTGAGAAGTTTTATGAATCCCGAGGTAGTTTGAAACTAATCGAGCACTTTCAGAACTATAAACCACTTATATTTCATGAAAAATTTCTTCAGAATCAACAAACCTTACCTTCTTGTACAATGACGTAAATTTCAGCTGTTTTATAAAGGTATTAATTTTGATGACGATAATTATAGTAATTGATCATTTACATATTACAGTTTGAACGATAAAGTGACATGGATTAATCGATTTAATCGAATTATCGCTAACAATGTTGCTTGAGATTTCTGTCGTCATGCCGGATCTAGATAATAAATAATTTAACGGCATGTATGCGGTGTATGATACGGTTTTATAATTAGCATTTTTATTACGTGTTTTCTTTGTTTTTTGCAGATTTTACAGGAGTTTGTTTTATCGAAGTCATCGTGGTGGCCCGGAGGTTAAGGCCCGCTTCTCATACATGAGTGTGGGGGTTCGAAACCTGGCAAGTACCAATGTGACTTTTGCCGAGTCATATTATTATGTACTTTCCTAAGATTATTTAGACACCACTGACAAACGGTGAAGAAAAATATTGAGGAAACCTGGACTTGTAAGACTATCTAGTTATAAGTTTAAAATCGCCAATCCACCTTGAGCATGCGTGGTGATTAATGCTCAAACCTTCTTCGTGTAGAACAAACTCGTGTAAGAAGAGGCCTTTGCTCAGCAGTGGGCACTTAAAAGCTGATCTTAACGATATGTCTACATATAATATTGTGGTTATATTTCTCTGTGAATAAGGAAGCAAACTAGAGACGTAATTTTTGTGCAGTCATGTTTAAGCTCACAAAAGAGGTCTTATTTAACTTCTTGTATTTAAAATTGTCAAAACACGCATAGAGCTTAATATCTGAAATTCACACAAAATGACTTGAAAGAAGTCATTTTTATTTATTTTGTTTTATTTAGAACGGAAAACATACATTGGCCGGTAACCTCACTTACACGGCGAAACACAGCGTTGTGGTTGTTACACGCCGGTTTTCTGTGAGGCCGTGATATAACTCCGGTCAAGCCGACCCATTCGTTGTAGTTGTTAGTATATTATGTATGCATATTTATGTATACTCACATTGAACATTACTCCTCGTCCTGAACTCTCCAATGAAGACCAGCTCCATCTTGCTGGAGACCGCGAGGTCAGCTATACTTCTAAGGCTGGTAACGTCATCAGCTTCCAGGGTACCCTTGAAGTGCATGTTCACGACTATCAGTGGTCTACTGCATAGCAGGAACGCTGAAAAGAAAAATATTCTATAATACTTAAAAAGAAAAAGTATCAATGTGGCTTATACCGAGTTATATGTACTTTCTCAGATTATTTCAATAACGCGAATGCCTGCGTGAACATCGTGAGGGAAAGAATTTAAAATAGCTAATTCGCCTAGAGGAATTTCGGTAATAAATGATCAAACCTTCTCCATATGAGAAAAGACCTTTGCTTAGAAGTTAGCACTTGTAGGCTGATATCTATTCCTGCTGATGAGAAAGAAAAAGTGGTTCGCCAGGTCAGAGAATGGTGTGAGAAGCTTTCTGACAAAACAATATCCTACTCCATGTCAGTTATCACTATTATCTTATAGGAAAACAAAGGTAAGGTAAATTTATTCACTATCAGTCAACCCTAGAGTACCTACAGAAAGCAACATAATTATTTGTAAACAGTGCAAAATTAGTATTTATACTTTTCTATAGATATTTCGTTCGTCTGCAATGAAGTCATTATGTGGTGATTATGTAATTCCTTTGTAAATAACGTCTGGGTTCACTTGTCATGTGCTTGACAATATTTATTCATGCTCGGTAAACATTTTATTATAATAGATTATTATGCAGAATATATACGCGCATAGACTGGAAACGGATTTGATAAACAAAAAAGGAATATTTAGTTATTTAAGTTTATGCACAATAAAAAATTATAAAGTTTACATATACCTTTCTCTATATGAACTTCTCTCTTCCTAACAAATAAATATAAAAAAAATTTGTTATCACAAATTATGTATACAGCTCTGAAAATCAGAGAAAGCTTCGCCAACACATAAAATGAACATCATATTAACGACCTTAGACTTGTAAACAAAATATACATTGTTTAATACCAATGGGAAGAGCCACGCTTCGGTACGAGTTCCATCTGGTTCCATCGAAGATATAACACGGCCACACAGTAAACCAACAACAAACAACGCTTGCGTTGTTTTTAGCTGCGTGAGTTTACTAGAGGCCTCATATCTCTAATCCTTATAAGGCCGTCAAAACAATAACTCCTTTGGCGTTAAGGGTATCCATGGGCATCGCCAATTCCTCACAATCTGTCCTCACCCGTCTGCTCATATCACTGACGGAAGATTTCATATGTTTTTGGTTTTCAGCCCTGTATTCTGAATCATCTGGCAAGAGTCACAGATAAGAGTCGTGCGTAGCACAAGTGTGACTAATCAAGACAGCTGTGTACCTAGTCTTTGTGTGCATCAATCAGCTTAGTACATAATACACAGCATGTAAAGTAAACATTTTATATACAGTGTGTTAAATGAGAGACTTTGTACATTTTATGTGTGTATATAACATGTTATGCTTTTGATTTACGGATTGTCTTTTTCTTTAACCCGTTGAATGTCGGTTTATAAGACACAATAGCAAATACATTGTGTTTCGAGTGGATCCACGTTTAGGACATAGGAAAGGTTAAAAAAACAAATACTTTTTTGTTATTATTTACAGCAACAATAAATTTTCAAAAAAAAATTACTCGTCGAATTGAGAACCTCCTCCTTTTTTGAAGTCGGTTAATAAGTTAATGATTGGTGATTAGAATCCTCTTTACATTAACATTAAAATGCTATCGTCTCATTCTGCTATGTAGAGTTTATCAAAACCTCTGAGTTACTCGATATGTTCCGCGATAGGGATCTCAGTTGAGAGGGTCTATTAGAGGGATATTAGAGTTTTATGACAACAAATTTTAGAAAAAGCCACCGATATCTCAAAATCTTTTTTATACATATGTATGTTAAGAACTTTTGATTATTAGAATTAGACGTCCATTGCCGGCCTTAGGATTAGGTAGTTTGGTTTTGATGATAACAACACCGAAACTTATATTTCGTTTTAATATTTAAGCGATCGTTACGAACAACCGTAAGTTTTATAACACCCCTTGAATAACCTCAGCCCCCAATACGTAAAATAGTTAGGTAGATATTGTTGTCTAGATTACCAAGATAATCTAAATAGGTAGTCAATTATATAATTTACGTGTGTCATCGTAATCTCACACCTGTGTTCCAATGGTAGGTAGATTTATAGATAATTAATTCACTGACTTATCATTACTGATTCATTATCAGTTTCGTGTAATAATAGGTTTTTAGACTATTATTAGATAAGTTGTGAATTTTTTTTTATAGAACAAATAAAATGTTTTTTTGGGCTTTTGGACTACGTAGTAAAAAAGTCATTTAATTAAACTTTCACAACAACGAATTGTCTCGTCGTGGATGGGACTAGAGCTCCTAATACTTACGAACCTATTGACCGTCTGATCTCCTACTAAGATAGATTTAAGTTAAAAGTCTAGTCCTATAATTTATAGAATCAGGCGTTACTTTACGGAAATCCATGACATTAAAAGTTATGAAAAATATTTAGTTTTATTTGGCGACAAAAATTCAGCGCTGCCTGAGTTATAGGTGCGTTGCTGGACTTTGAAGTTTTTATGTATAAATACAAAGGGTTAATGTCGGATGGCATATCTACCAAACGACGGTAAGGGTGGTGCATAAATGGAATTATACCCTTGCCGTCCTGCCAACGCATTCCACTCATTCTTTTCTATCTCCCTTTTTTTTTACTTGCAATAAACTATAGTCAGAATTTTAATTCGATTCCTGATTTGACATTGACCACTGTCATTTTATGAAATAATGATACCACATATATTATAACAGTGTAGTGATGAACACAAAAATCGATAAACAATCGGTGAATCAGTTTCAGAAAGGCATTCAAAAAATTACGGCTACCGAATTGTCTAAATGTGTATCCCATATTTTCAAAGAAGAGGAAAAATTGAGTAAGCTATATATGTTAATTGACAAAAAAAAATCACAAGACACAATTCATAATAAATGTTACAGAAAGTAACAGCGATAGTGATAGCGATGACGGAGACAATTTATAAAATGTCTGTTTTATTTGTCACGTTTCTTCATCATCACATTTTTTATTAATTTCGCACACAATTACAAAAGAAAAGTCTCAGATCGTTAATTAATTGTCAAAACTAAATTATCGGTTCCAAAATATTTTATTTCCTGATAAACTTAGTTTACGAGAGTAAATTTATAAACGAGAGGAATCGATTCAGAAATATTCGATTTCCATATCGAATAATTTCACAACGTCACTATTTATTACGTGTCATAACGTTGCAACACTGAAATTGTCAAATCTGGAATGGAATTGAAATTCCGAGTATAGTGCTTGACTGCGATCCACCTGATGGTAAGGGGTCTTCTACTCTGTCTGTCTGTCATCTTGTAATCTGTTCTTACGACTTCCTCAAGAGGAGTAGGTAACAAAGTTACCTGTTCAAATCTGCTATCCAATACTTCTAATTAAATCTACATAAGCTATATGACAGAACTGTACGAAATTATTTAAATAACCTTCAAAGGTTTACATTTCAGAGGCATGTAATGTTTACTGGGTTCATTACAAATTGATGATGTCCTCGACAAGGTCAGGGTGATCGCGTGTGCGACAATTTTATAGGTATGTATGTCTGTTCTGTACAGTTATATATTAAAGATTGATTCAGTATACAGACACTAATAATTTTTTGACTACTGAAACCGACTAATGGTTTGGACAAGAGCAGCTCTATTTTATAAAAATCATATTATTTTATTCGTGTGGTTTAATTTTTTATCCTCCTGCTTAGACGGATTACCTGATGGTAAGCAATCGGAGCCGCCCGCAAAACAGCCGGGATTAGGGTTTTGGAGAATTTGAAGATTGGGGAGGAATGGGGAGAAGAGTAAGGATTGAGCCTCCGGTAACCTTACACACAAGCCGAAACAGAACGCTGTTTTTCTGTGCGGCCGAGGTATTACTTTGGTCGAGGCGGCCCATTCGTGCCGAATCATCGGTCTCCCACATTAATATGTGACATTGAATGATAAAAACCTACGACACAAGAAAAAGAGCTAGAGTGCGAATATGATCTTTTAAACGTCTCTTTTCAGAAGCAGAGAGAGATAGAGTAACAAACAATTAGGTTGTAATGATACTAAGACATGATTAATCATTCATATTTCTACAACGCTTAGTAAATAACAATAAAAATATAACAATATATGGTATACTTAATATAAAATATTATACATAAGTACTGTAGACTGGCAATAAATTCAACCTACTGTATAGTTACTTGTATTACGAACTTTGAATACTACTGAAGTCGTAAAATGTCCAACAATAGATTATCTAAGAAACAATGGGGAAATACCAGTCACTTATTTTCATATTAATATTCGATTTTCATGTTTTTCTACATCGAATTAAATCTTCTTTAGTATAATCTGAAGATTAATTAAACGGTCTGTAGTTAGGTTACTTTTCTAAGTCAAAACTTAACTATTATAAGTTTTCAATAGAATTATCTATACTTCTATACTAATATTATAAAGAGGTAAAATTTGTAAGTTTGTATGTAGTGTATCTCTGGAACCGCTGGTCGGGTTGCCAAAATTCTCTTATTCACTGATAGATAGCTACAATGTTCCTGAGTGCTATAGTATAAAAAACATTACGCTACGATCAAATGAAACCGCGGGAGAGAAGCTAGTTTAAATATATTTTTAACTTTTATTCATTACTTTGACTTTACCTAATTACCTATATAGGTACATAATTTTTTGAATAAGAATGTTTTCTGATTTACGTTCGTACTGGCTGGAACTATTTCCTAGGGATTTATCTAACCAGGCTCGGCTCGGAACAGAAAAGAATGGGTTGGTCTTTAGACGTAGAAGAAGCTGACAATTCCTCTCGAGCACCCAGGGTGGAAAAGGCACAAAGTGATTTGCCCCCTTCCTAAAAAGTGCATCCGGCTTTGGAGTTATTTTAAGGACAGTCCCTGTCAGATACTAATGTTGGCCACTTAGTAGGTTTTAGTGAAGTAAAAATCCGTTTTTCTTCAAAAAAAGATAAACGCCTTGCAAAAGT